ACGTAATTTATTTCATAAAATAATTACATATAATAACTTATTCATCAACTTTAATTTTCATAATTTTATTTTTTTATTACAAATCTTCAATTAAACATTGATCATATTATTATTAATATTGAAATTGGCCAATTTATTTTTCTAAATCACCATTTTTTAAACAAAAATTATCTTTACATTATTAAATTTCATTTTATAATTAATTTAAAGTTTATTCTAATTTGGAAATCTTAGTATTGAAATTTTTTTCTTTAATTAAATATTCATTCCTTTCATTCTTTAAGTTTTATATTTCTTATTCATACTCTATTTTAAATATAATAAAAAGTATGCTAATATCCTTTTTGTTATCAAATAAAATTACCTGTAATTGTAATATCTGTTGATAATTTTAAATATCTTATATGTTATAATGTATTTATCATATAATTTTTAGCTTCTTCATTTTTGCTTTAAAGAATTTCTTATATAAATTATTTTGGTTATTTATAAGTAGTATTATTTTTCATTTATATTTATTTATTTTTTATATGAAAATAATATATTTATTATAATAAATGTTGAAAAAAATAATCTATTAATTATTAAATAATACATAAATATTAGAATAAAAATCATTTTTATTCTTCTTCTTCTTCTCCAGTTAAATCTTCATCACTTTCATTATTTTTATTTTACTTTTTAAAAGATTTACTAAGAGATCTTTTCCTACTAAAAAGTTCATCTATTTTTTCATCTTAACTAATCAATGAATTTAATTTATCAAAAAGAAATTCATCACTTTCTCTTACTATACATGTAACTTTTCCTTTTTTTCCCATTCTACCAGTTCTTCCAACCCTATGAAGGAAAGTAACCGCATTCAAAGCAAAATCAAACTAAATAACATGATCTACAAATAAAAAATCAAGTCCTCTACTTGCTAAATCAGTACTTAAAAGAATTTATATATTATTATTATTTTCGAAATCATTTAAAACATTAATTCTTTATTCTGTAGATAATTCTAATTTTTTAATATTAAATTTAGTAAAAAAAATTAAAAAAAATATATACTTGCATGAAAAATAAGACTTTATATCTATTAAAGTTACAAAAGTTCAAATAAATTTTAAGCATTTTCAACAGAATGAACAAAAACAATTATTTTTTTAGATTTAGTACGTTAAATTACTTATAAAAATATATCATTTATTGAATGTTCTGGATGTTTATTTAAATAATCATTTACTTTTATTATTTCAAAGCTAATATTTTTTCCTATTTTATGTAAATTATCACCTTCAATAATTTCCCAATTCTAGAATTATTTCCTAAAATAATTTAAACCTTAAATTCCATTAATTTTCAAAGGAAAAGTAGCCCCTGAAAAAATAAATTAAGTGTTAATTTCTATAAACTTTTTTATTAAAAAAAATGTTCCTTTACTAATATTAGTATCCCCAAGTAATAAATCAAATTCATCAATAACAACGAATCTATTATATAAATTAAATTTTCGAAAATATTTTTATTTTTACTTTGGTCTTATTTCATAAGGATTTATTTTATCTTTTATTTCTAATATTTATTATAATTATGTTGGTGTACTTATTAATATATCTATTTTTTTCCAGTCTATTCCTTTAACTACACTTTAAAATACTAAACTTGCTAATGTTTATTGTACATTTAAGTCTTTTTTTTTTCCTTATTCTCCCTTTTTTTTTTTTTAAAAAAAAAAATAATTCTTAAATATTATATATACTATTAAATGAACCACTGGTGCAATATATGATATTGATCCTGTTCTTGAAATTTAAAGTTTTTTTAAAGGATCTAATTTTCGGATTTATGCGTATACTTATGCTGCTAATTCTTTTGTTGGAACTAATATTATGGCTCCTTTTAATTCATTAATTGAATGTTACTTTTATTGATTATTGGCTAATAATTATGACATTATAGGAATTAAATATGATAATGTTTTCCCTGAACCTGTTTCTGATGCTATTATAAGTGTATTATCATTTGAAAACGAATTTAAAACCTTATTTAATATTTAAATTTATTCATAAAGTATTTGTTAATTTATATGTTTTTGATTACACCCTATTAAATTTTTGTTGGAGTTTTAAAATTTAAATTATTTAAATTTTTTAGTAAATAATTGTCCTTTAAAAAATCATTAAATTATTTAGTGCAAAACCTAAAAAATAAATAATTTCTTTTAAACATTTTTTTATTATTTAATTATAAATTTATTTTATAATATTTTAAGATTTTATTATTTAAGTTTTATAAAAAAATAGATATACTTTTAACTACGAAAATATATACAAAAAAAATGTAAAATACAAATCAACAAAATGAATTAATAGTTTTAAGTTAAAAACTAAAATAAACATTAAAAGATAACACTTTATAAGAATATGGTAATTTTTAAAAAGAAATAAGATTATTAGAATTATAAAATACTAAAAACAAAAATTATTACAAAATATTGATAAATTTATATGAATAGTTGATATAAATATAAAAAGAAAATAATAAAAACTAAACTGAATAATACTTTAAAGTTTAAAATTTATGAAGATAAATTAAAGCAAGTTCAAAATAAAATTTTAAGTTTATATTAGGAAAAGTTTGATTTACTTCAAATATAATATATTTAAAAAAACTAAACATAATTTTAAAAATTATCAGATACTAATAAACTTTTATTTACCTAAGAAGAAATATTTAAATAAGAAAATTAATTTAAAAAAATGTTTGGATACGATATAGAAATAAAAGAAACCTAAGAAAAATAAATGCGAACATATTCTACTTAAAATTCGGAAATAGAATAGGAATTGGAAATAAATTAATAAAAAATCAAAGACAATATGGAAATTTAGAAACAAATAAAAAATGATATTTAAAAAATCTAATCTAATATAATTAAAGAAAATCAAATTAATATAACTTAAATAAATTATATTACATATTAATTGGAAAATGATGCTAATATTGATTATTAGTTAAATATTATAAAAAATGCATAAAGATAATATGATATAGGAAAAGAAAAAGTAAATATTATTAATTAATAACTAAATGAAAGAAATAAATATACAGAATTTTAATAATAAATTTATCAAAAAAAATAATTAAACCAATATTTGGAAGAATAAATTATAACTTTTAAACAAAAAAATGAATATTTAGAACTAGAATTAAAATAATAATAAAATATTTAATATAGTATTAAATTAAAAAAGTAAGCTTTTATTACAAGCTTTTCATTCCTAATTGCTTTATTTTTTATTTTATTGACTTTAATTATAATTAATTGAAATTCGATCGTAAATTATTAATTTTAAAATCAATATTTTATATTTTAAAAGAAATTAATTATATTTATTTAAATTTAATTATGTATTTTTTTTTTACATTTAGCAAAATTATTTTAATGTTATTTCTTAATTTAAGAAAAATCAATAAGAAAAAAAAAAAAAAAAATGTTATATAAATAAATAAAATTAGCTTGAATAAATTATATATAATAATTTTTAATTTGTTTTTGAAAAATTATAATTTATTTATACAAATATCATTAATATTTAATCTATTTGCTTTTTTTAGTAAAGCTAATCATATATAAAAAATACTATTTTTTAATGAAAGTATATAAATATGTATATTTAAATATTGATTTTATTTTACAAATTATATATTTAATCTAAATTAAATGCTAAAACGCTAATTTTGAAAGTTTAGGCTTTTAAAATGATTAGTTTCCATACATTTGTGTTAATGGAACTTAGGATAAACAAGCTAATAAATGCATATGTGATGATAAATATGATAGTTCAGGAAACGTTAATTTTTAAAAATCTTAATAATTTAAAATTTAATAAAAATAAAAAATAGTATTAAGGAAATAAAGCAGTAATGTGTGATATTATTAGAAAAAAAGAGTCCATTAATGAATCAGAAATTAATTATGAATCATCTAATTAAACAAATGATTATAAAAACATTATAGGAAATAACGAAACTTTTTTAAATTTACATATAGTATTTTATATTTATTTTTATTTTAAAGTTTTTCAATAAAATATTTATTAAAGAATTATTGGATTATTATTGGTGTTGTTAGTGGTTTATTTATCATATTAATTATAATTTTAATAATAAGACATAGAAGGAGAAAAAGACAAAGAGAATAAAGCTATATAATTTGAATATAAAAATACACAATTTTAATATTAATTTTAAATTAATTTAATAATATAATATTTTTAATATTTTTTGTTTTTTTATAATATTAATTATAATAAATAACTTAATAAAATAAAAATAAAAAATGAATTAAACTATAAGTTTTATTTAAAATTTATAAGTTATTAACAAAAAAAACATAATTACGCCAAGAATTATTATATCAAATTAATACTTTAAAAAAAGTGTCTTTTAATAAAAATTTAATTAATAACAATAGAATCCTAGTTTATAACAATAGTTAAAGTAAAATAGTTAATAATATCAAAAAATATTAAATACATTAAATTCTCATAATTCAAATAAAAAGTAATATTATGGATAAAAAAGTTAAGAATTTGATGATATTATAGGAAACAAAATTTAATCATCGATTCTGTAGTAAAAAATTATAGTTAAAGATAAAAATCTGTCGAATTAAAATCCTAAAAAATGAGGAAAAAAAAATATATGTATAAATATATATTTTTAAAATTCATTAAATTTTTATTACAAAATAAATATGTATTATATAGTTATCTATATTAAATTTATTTAACTATCACTAATTTACTATTAAATATAAAAACGATTTATATAAATGCTACATTTAAATAATTACTATAAATTAGTTTAAAAAATAATTAATATTTCTATTATTATCATTTATAATTAAAATTTAATATTTTTAAATAATCCTTAATCTTAATAATATTTAATTTTTATTTTTGATATTATTTTTTTATACGCAAATAATTTTTATTTTTTTCTTAAAAATGCTTGTATATAAACAATCATTTTCATATAATAATTTTTATACAAGTATTAACTAATTCTAATATGTTTTAAATAATAATTACTATAAAATATGTTTGGGAAAAGGCAGTTTTGGATGCGTGTATTTAGTTTAGGATAAATAAACTGAATAAAAATATGCAATTAAAATAGTAAAGCCATTTAATTATGAAAAATATAGATATTCGAAAAACACATATTTTTTTTAAACAAAAAGATTGATTTATAATAACCAAATAGTAAATAAGTATATGAATATTTAGAAAATGAAATTTAAATTCATAATTAATTAAATCATAAAAATATAATAAAATTTATCGATAGCTTTAAAGAAGATTAAAAAATCTATATGGTTTTAGAATATGCATTTAACGGAAATCTGTTTAATTTTTTGAAATTAAATAAAAATATTGATTAAAATTTACTTTTTAAATTTTATTACTAAACCTGTTTAGCTGTTTAGTATCTTCATTCATTAAATATATATCATAGAGATATTAAAGTATTTATATAAAAGTATTATCACTATTTGTTATAATAAATATATATATATATATATATATATACAATATTTATAGCCTGAAAATCTTTTGCTTGATGAAAACTTAAATATTAAATTATGTGATTTCGGATGGAGTATAAATAATCTTGAAACATAGAGAAATACTTTTTGTGGAACATTAGAAGTATTATGCTAAAATATAATGAAAAATAAATACATAATATTTATAAATTTTAAAAAAATAATATAAGTATATGGCACCTGAAATTATTTTTAGACAGTAATATGATTATAAAGTTGATATATGGTCTTTAGGTATTTTTTTGTATGAATTATATCATGGGTTTTCACCTTTTGAAGGTAGAAATTTTAATCAAATTTAATAATTGGTTTACAAAGGAGATATTTATTTTACTGAAGGATTAGAAAAATGTCTTAAATTTTTGATTTGTTAATTATTATAAGCCGATCCTGTAAAAAGATTTAACATTAATGATATTTTAAATCATTCATGGATTAAAAATATGATAATTAAAATAAAAAATAATTAACAAGTATTTTTATTATTTACAAAATTAAACATTTTTTATTATTAATTTTAATAAATTCTATTAATCAAAATAAATAATAGTAAGAATAAACTTATTTAAATCATTATAATTTTTAGAAATCTATTTAATTAAAATGTTAAGAATAAGAATAGTATTAAACTTTTTTACTCTAACAAAATTAATTATTATATTAATAATTTTCTAGATAAGTTATTTCATAAATTAAAGACAAAGAAGTAATTTACAATAAAATAATGTATTTTTTTCTATAAAAATAAATTATTAATTTAAATTTGTTTTTGAGAAAAAAATAAAAATGTAAAAAATAGAAAAAAAGGTAAAAAATTTTTCAAGAAAGAAAATACAAAAAGAGATATGATTATATAAATAATAATTAAAAATAAGACGAAAGTAAAAATTATAAAAAAATAAAATAAAAATAATTATTTTATAGTTTAGGTTAATTATTACACAAGGAAAATATTTAATTGAAAACAAAAAGTATTTATTGTAAAGCATAAATTATTTATATAAAAAGTTACTAAAATATTAAACAATAAACAAGATTTAATAATATTAATATAATTAATTTTTTATTATTTTATAAATAAAAAATAAATATTAAGCCTTTAATATAAACAATAACAAATTATTAATTCAGAAAAATATTTTTTATTTTTTTTAAAAACTTTTTTTATTTCTTAACTTAGTTTTTATAGATTTTCAAATCAACTTCTTTTTTTTAAAATAACTCTTTAGATACATAATTTAGAAAACAATTAGTAAACCTAATATAATTAAAGTTCCACCCGAAAATATTAAAGCTTTTGAGGCTACATCAATGTATTCAAGAATAATTTAACCTTATTTGTATATCACCATTTTCTTTTCTTATCCAATATATTATAGTAAATCCTACATTTTATTAACTTCCAATTCAACAGGTTCAAAGTCAGTTTTTGAACTTATTTCATTATAATCTTTTGCCTCAGCACCACTTCTATAGTCTATATTTGCTTCAATAATTTTTTAATCATTATTTTATATGCAAAATTAATAATTTCCTTCTAATTCTGTTGTAAAAATAACCTTTAATGCAAATAAATAATATAAAATTTATTAATTTTACATTTTGTTATAATTCATTTGATTTAGTATATATCTAATTTTTTTACGGATCATTTATTTTAACTGAATAATTTTATGTCTTAATATCAATATTTATATATACAAGTATTTACAAACCTTTTTAATTTTATTTTTTAAATTTTTATATTAAAACCTAAAGAATCTTAAAAGCATAATTGTTTTAATGGGAGAATTTGATATTGAAAATAAATACAGTAAGAAATTTAAAATATAACAAATATTAAATATTATACAGATATATTCATTTTTTTATTTATATTTTATATCTTTTTTTAAATTTATTTTTACTCTAAATATATTAAATTTAAAATCAAACATAAAAATTAATTTTTATTAAAAAAGAAAAAAGAAAAAAGAAAAAAAAAATATATATATATGTATTATTTAAAATATATATATATATATATATATATATATATTAATAAATTCAACTTTTTTATTTATACTTTTCACAAATTTCAGCAGGTGGGAAATATGAACCTTCATTTTTAATTATATATGGATTTTCTGAATTAAGAATCCACCATTTATCCAAGCTTTTGACTTCATTACCAGACTATCCATTTAAACATCCCACAAGCCAAACAAGATTATTTTCACTTTCAATTTAAAAATCAATATCACTTGTAAGTAAATTAGTCTAAAATACAGGATAATCAATTCCCCCAACATACATTGATATTATAGCTCCTGATTATTCAAATAATCTATTAATATTAGTAATTCCAGCTTTCTAAAAGGTCTCTTATTGCTTTAAAGATAAGTCTTATTTTACAAAAACAAGATAATTATTAGCCCCTAGTTTTTCTATTTTTATACTTTATATATTTTTAGTAGATTTATTAGTTTCAAATTATATGTTTGGACAATTTTAATTCAAAAAACCTACTAAGCAATCTGTCTTTTAGTCAGTATTTAAAATAGAAAATAGATCTAATTTAGCTGCTGATTAGTCATTCCATTAAAGAATCAATCTAGAATGTCCTTATTATAGTTTTTTGTATAAATAAATAGTCTTTTTTAATATTCCTTGTTTGCTATCGGCTAAATATATTTGCATACAAGAATAACTGTATCCTTTAGATTTTACAAATACTGTAAATGTAGTCATTTATAAATTATTTATTTGTATTATTGGAGATTTCTATTATTATTCTAAAAAAGGAGTTTAGTTTTGCAAAATACACTCTGTTTAGTCTAAATATAACTATAGTTATATTACTTAATTTTCTATATTCATATCAGTTGAATAATCTTTCACTTCTAATTAAACCGTTTAAAAATGAAGAGTTTTGTCAACAACTTATTAGTAGTTTGGATTGAATTATTATATCATTTATTATTAAGTAATATTTTTTAGTAAATTGATATGTTTCTTTTTTTGTATTGTATATTTTTTATTTAAAACTTAGTTTTTTGCTGTTTTTTAAAGAACATTTATTTAAACATCTAGGTTATCTATAATTTTATTTTTTAAAAAAAAGTAAATTGATTTTTTTTGATTTTACGGTTTCCTGAATATGACTAAGAATTTAAACAAACATAGTTCTCAAAGAAATCTTTTACACTTTAAGTATCTCCTTCTACTGCTAAAAACCTTTAATCATGCTATAATTTATTATCAAAGAATAAATTAGCAAAATTTTAATCATAAATTTTAATTAAATCCTATCTATACCCTTATTTAACCTTTTATTTTATTTAAAATAAAATAATTATATAATAAAGATACTGCAATATCAAATAAAGTTGTAACAATGGAAATTCTAACATGTTTATTATTACAATTCTCTATACATTATAGGGCTTCATTTTATGAAAAACTTTTCTTATAATACAAATTATAATAAAAATTAAACATCTTATCGCATTTAATTTTCACAGTAACATCATCAAATTAATAATTTTTGTATTCAGGATTGCTTAAATTAGGTTCTTAAAGAGTAGTTATTATACCAGGTTTTTCCTTTATAGGATGATTTAAAAATTAAGTAGCTAAAAAAAAACATCCAACGATTGCTCCTATTGATAAAAAGAAAATAAGAACCTCTACTTTTTTACTTAATAATTTATCTCCTGCATATCTACTACTTAAATAATAGCAACATCCTACAATTACAAAGCAAATTAAGAAAAGTATAATTGCTTTTTTTTTAAAAAAATAAAATAAAATAAAATAAAAATAAAAAAAAATATTTTTACATTCACTCGCTATTAAATAAAACCAGTCTGAATATACTTTAGCTACAAGCCCACAACATTTATTATTTAAACATTAAACTTAATTTATTTTTTTAATGTTTAAGATATCCACATCTTTTTCCCATTATATGGCCTGTTGGCTTTTTTCACAATCAGGAAATTTTTATTCACTTTTTTAAGGAATATATTTATGAGGACAACCTACTGTGGCCAAATAATCTTAATGAACTAATTGCATCTTTATTCCGCAATTTTATTTCACGAAAGTATTTATTTCACGTGTATTTCTATATACTTTACCATTAAATGAAATTAATACAAAGCATATTAACAAAAGTAGAGTTCCTACTGAAAGAAAACCTATTTTCCATTTATTATAATTTATTATTAATATTACTAAGAATATGCCTAAAAAAATTATCGCTATATAAAATATCATCCTTATTTCCCAAAAATCAGCAATTTTTGATAATGCCTTTGTGCTTTCTAAGCTTTAAGCAGATGAAGTAGTCCATATTAAAAAGCAAGAAAGTAAAACCTTTTTTTTATTTAATTTTTTTTATTTATTTTCTATATTACTGATAAAAATGTAAAAATGTATAAAACTATTCTCAGTGAATTAGCACTATTACAAAATACATATGAAGAATACATATTATATATTAATGTTATAATATTAAGAAATATAGTTAAATAAAGAAATTAAATAAGGTATTTATAGAAATCTTAATATTATTTAGTTTAAGCTTTTTTATTTTAAATTATGAAAATAAAAAATATAAAATATAAAAAAAATAAAATTTAAATTTTTTTAATTTGTTAATTTATTATATTATATTACCTTCATCATAATTTGCATAGAAATAATCATTTACATAGTCTTTATAAATTAATATAGTAACACAAATTACTAATAATGCAATAGCAAATAAAATCGAGAAAATAAAAACAAATAAAGGTAAAAAGTTATTTTATGTATTATACCATTTTTCATTTTTATTTTACATAATAATAAAACTATCTGAAAATACCCAATAAAGGACTATAATTATAAAAGCACATATAATAATAGAAGTTATAAATAACATTTAATTAATTAAAGAAGGGTACAAATTTTATAAAAAAAATCCTATTGTTGCTAATCCACTACTAAATATAAATTAGAATAAACCTATTATTTTTTGTTTAAATATTAATTCATATTTTTCTAATCTTGTCCAATCTTCTTGTTCTGTAGGTAATGCTTTTATTTAAATGCTTTAGTTGTTTGATTATCTTATATCTGATAAATTCATTATTTTAATATTTTGTTTAATTTATTTTTATTATTTTTTTTTATTTTACTTTTTATATTTAAATTGATATTTATTTTGTACGATATGTTTAAAAATGTTATTTTTTTAAAAAAAATATAAAATTGAAACTACAAATATTTTATTTTAATTTAAATAAAAATGATTTTTAAAAAAAATATTATATATATTCGTAAATAAAATCAGAAAAAAATTGATAATATTATTTCTTATTCAAAAGAAATTATATAAAATAAATTATGTTTATAATTGGGTTAAATTATATTTTTTTATAAAAATATTAAATTAATTATATTTTTTGAATTAATTATTTGATATAATATTTATTTTGACTTTTTTAAAAATATATAAATAAAATAACGAGGATATCTAATTAAATATATGGTTTAAATTTATATTTAATAAATAAAATAAAATAAAAATTTTAATTTTATATTAAATCCTTAATAGTATAATAATAAAAAAAATATTTTATTTTAATAATCAAAATATTTATATAAATAAATAAAATAATATATAATTTTTACAAACATAAATCATATAAAATTTTAATATATCAATATATATAAAATATATAAAAAAGGATGGATAATTTAATATTTAAAATAAAAATTATATTTTCATTTTTTATTTAATTTT